TTTTAAGTTGAACATAAGAAGTTAAAATGTATTTTAACTGCTACATCTGCTTTAAAAGTTCCACTCTTAATTTTGCAGGGTATTTTTTCTTGCTGTGGTGAGGTGGCGTGTTGTCTGCCTGTAATCCGGTGGCAGCTGGGAGGCTTTGGAGATAAGGGTGCAAGTTTAAATAAAGGAGGGGAGGAGAAAAAAAAAAAAGGAGAGGAAAATATCCCAAAAGCTGATAATGTAAAAATTGGTTTGACTCTCTTATTTTACCCTTTACTTGGAAGGTTCTCTGCTTGTGTGCTAAGCAGGAGTAGGTGTTTGCAAAGCTCTCGTGCTCAGGGAGCGGACAGCCATAGTGCCAGTGATCTGTTCACACACACCTTTGTGCTTCCTGCCAGCTTCATTTTGTAGGCCATCTTCTGCCTACCCACAGACTGTTTTTTTCTTTCCCTTGAGCATGTGGTGTGTGATTTCAGCTCCAAACTATCAGCTAGCAGTTTCCACGATTTACAAATTTTTTTCAATAACTACTAACAGAAAGAGAGTTCATGGAGGGCATGTTAAAAATCAAATGTGCCAAAACATGCCAGGATATGCTACACCTGACTCTGTTCCTTTCAGCATACATTTGTAAGTTATTATGTGAAAACTGCTAATAGTTTGTTATAAAATATATTTTTACATTTATTTTTCAGCATTGAAGTAGTCAGGAAACGTCTGTGCTCTTTGTACCTTCAGTAAAATCCTCTGCATCCCAAATGTAAGGGGAAAGCATCGGGGTGAAGGGCTGGAACTGTGGGTGCAGTACAGTGTTCAACATAAAATGAAGGCATCAGCTGGCACTCCTTAGTGTGGAGTGGGCAAGGGGTGGTCTGTGTTAATGCTTTCAGAATCTGATTTCTGTGGGCTTGGTAGTTTTTGGAGATGTTGATATACAAGGTGCTTGTCATCAAAGCTTCACTATGTTATCACTGTGCTGGTCCTGCAGGAAAGCTTTATTCTCTAGCTTCTGGCATTTCTGACACAGCAGAGTTGTTGACTTTCTAAAAGAGGACTGGATGGAATGGACTACGGGAAGAAAATGGTCAAAACTTGGAGCTCTTTTCATGCAAGGCATTGAATAGAATGTTTTCTATTCTCTTTCTAAAAGCAGTGCCCTCAATCTTTCAAGATTATTTGAAATAGCTTTTTCCCAGTACCCTGTGGTTCTGAATCTTGGACAGTTGTTTATTCCACTGCAGCAGTCGATAGTGTCAACCACCAGAGTTACTGTAGATGTCTTTCTGTTGCAGTAATACTCAAATTTCAGAAACACCTTTAGTTATATTTGTCATTTGCCAGTGTCTTCATTTAAAACCTATCTGTGTAAAATGCTCTTTCATTTGTTCCTGTTGCTTATTCTCTGTTGAAGTCCCAGTTATAATAGAGTGAGACCAGACACCTAGTAAAGATCCTATTAAATGATTTTTTTTTTTGCTGGAAAAGGAAACAAACACTGTTGAATATACCATATTTTATATTTTTTCTGTAACTACTTTGTTCTGCACTTACTTATTATAGCAAAGTACTTTATGTAGGGGAGGGCTGCTGGGAGACTGCAGGTTCCCTGTTGGGGTATTAACTTGGGTGCAGCACCGAGCTAATGCACCTCTGTGTTTCTAGAGTGGGCTTACATCAGTCAGCTTAGAGAGCAAGTGGAAGAGCTCGCTTCTGTCAGCATCCATCTGTATAGGTGTCTCCCAGATGTCATTAGAGATGAGTTTAACTTTCACTTTTATTAAGTGGTGCTGAGGTCTCTCTCTCACCTAGTTTGTTTGCTTACCTTAGTCCCCGTACTGTGATACCTGACTGTCTCCTTCCCTGTGAATATCCTGGAATCATTAAAGTTGGAAAGACCTCTAAGATCATAGAGTCCAGCTGTGTACTCCTCGCATCCTGGCTTGACAGGGAACGGTTGTCACCCCTCTGTAAGGGATGGAAGTGGATGCAAAGGCAGCGTTAGTTGTGTTCACACTGTATTGACCACTGCAGGAAATTGAAACTAATCCTGGGCTAATAGTTTACCCCCTGTCTTATTCTTCATACACTAAACACAGGGTGATCCAGTCTCCTTGACAAGGAGTTCCCAAACCTGTCCTTGTGCTGTGTATTTTCACATTCCTCTCCCTCCGCTCCCCCCACTGATGTGTGAGTGTGTGTTTCGATGTATCTGGATGTGCACAGACACAGGAGGAAGCATCTGGCCTCCTCCATATCTATGGTGGTGGCAGCAGCTTCTCCAGGACAAACTTGGTGAGCTAGTTTGAACTCTCCTCTTGGCAAGATTTAGCTTGTCAGCTGTCCATTGAGTGAACAAACCGGAATATAATGTTCCAGGGAGTAAATACTTATCATCAGGAAGAACTGGGTGAATGTGATCTTAATTAAACAAATATTAAAAGCAAGTGGAAAATTATTTACTTTACAAATGAAGCACTACTGCCTTGGAACTATTATAAATACATATATAATGCCTGTATAGTAAATAGCTGAGAGAAAACTGAACTGGAGTAAATGCCTTATTGGAAAAAAGAGTGTTTAGCTGTGCTGGCTGAAACTTCAGGTATGTTAATCATGCTTTTATCCCCTGTTTTTATAGATTGCTGCTAAAATTGGAGATATTCCTCACTTGAATAATTCTACAACACTTGTGGACCCGTCAGTGTACGGTTATGGAGTGCAGAAACGGCCCCTGGATGATGGAGGTAAGCTGGCTATGGTTAGTCAATCTTGTGGACCCAGCCCCTGAAATTAACCTGTGGAGGCAGCTGTCTGCTTTAATGACAGAAATCAACACATCTTTCTGTGTAGAGAAATTTTATACAAGATTCCCCGTGTTGTTTAGTCTTATCTTGATAGCACAGGGCTTCTAGGCTTTACTATTATTAATGTAAAGCAATTTTTTCTTAGCTCGTGAACTTTGGGAATTAGCAAACAAACTCTATAATTTAAATCTTGTTGTGTGGTAGTTGAGGGGAGGGAGGAGGATGTGCTTATTGGAACTGTGCTGAGTACTATAAGTACCAGATGTATGTAGTCAAGGTGTTCTTCCCTGGTGACCCTTATTTTCAGAGAGTACAGGGACAGTGTTTCATGTGCTCCTTTCCCTGCATAGCCGTGATCACAGCGCAGTAACTGAGTAGCTGTTGAGAGTTCTGGTTGCTTTGTACAAGAATTTTAAGGAGAAAGGATGTTGATGCAAGTTGGAAGGAGACTTCTTATTACTAGACTTAGCTTTTTTCGTAATTATTCTTTGAGTTCTTAAATCTCTGATGGGTTTAACATTGGCCACAGCCAAAGAATGATTTACTGGGTGGACCATATCTGGTAACTGTAATGTGTTAATATTATATGAAGTGTTACACACTTAACTTACTAGTTTCTTATCTTGGTAGGAACAACAAAAATGTTAGAACACTTTTTTTTTTTACAAATCTAATGATGTGCACTGTTAAGAGAAGTGTTTAAACTGTATTATCTGCTGCTGTATTAGATGCAAAGAGCTCACCTTTTCCTGTGGTTGGTTATAAAAAAGAATGTGGCTAAGTCTTCCTTTTTCTATTTCCTCTAGTATTTTTGCTGACACAGGTAGCCCTGCAGGGCGATTCTCTCCCCCACAGATATGTTCAGGAGTACTGAGGAGATAAGCAAAGCTGCTGCTTAGCACTTCATTTTGAAAATAACTTTTTCTCTCTGATACAAAGGCTGAAAATACTGCACGTCTGCTTCTCATGCTGAAAAAAACGTGCTGGACCATAGGGAGAAGTTTCTTTCATGTGGAGCCTCTGGCTTGTTAACGTTATTGTCTTCTGAACACGTGCCACAACCCACTTTGTTCTCTGGTGTTGGCTCTATTTGAGCAAGAGATTGCTGCTCCTTTGGTTTGGTGTTTTAGGAAACAAATGGTTTTTTTCTGGATAAACCCCTGCTCCTTGTATCTCGGGCTGGAGCATCACTGCTGGTGTTACTGGTTTGTGTTGGTTGCTGTAGGAAGGTGCCCGCTGTCAAGCAGGCTGTTCAGCATTGGAGAGCGCTGAACAATTTGGAGCTGTGTCTGAATGGCTTAGATAAGGGGCTGTGGGTGAAAAAAGAATAAAAGTAGCCTCCTAGGAACTAGTCATTCATAACATTAGTCCTGCCTCTTCCTTCCATTGGTTCATCAGACTGAACTGAGAAATCTGACCTCGTGACAAACGGGTTTGTATGAACTTTTACCGTACGGAATGGTTGTAGCGCTTAATGGCAGTGTGAGTTAGACTTTGTACTTAAACTCTTACTGGTGAGCCCTGTTACTTGCTGAGCCTTGTTTGTGTTGACACAAACTGGGTCAATACAGTTGCATCCTGGGCTATACATGCATGTTACTGCTGGTTTCTTGTGTTGTGATAGGTAACTCCATGGAGCAGGGATCCTTCCTGGGAGAGCCTTCCGGAGTGGCTCTACTCCTCAGTGTTGTATTAGCAGTTGTTCTGCTGATGTAAAGACCTGCTGGTGTTTGCTCACCCTGGCTGCTTGTTCAGCACTGGGCTTGGTTTTGTAACTGTTTTAAAAGCAGCTCCAGGTGCTGTATTTGCCCTTGGGTTCTTCATATACATCTGTAGTTGTTATAACTTTGTCCAACTCCCTTCCCAGAAATCTGATCTGTGAGATCTTAGAGGAGAAAAGAAATGATGGAAGTAATATTTTAAAGGACTGGAATTTCACAAAGAAAGTGGTATTGTCAGGATAGGATCAAGGGTGGTATTGCTGTATTTTTAAATTTATTTTGTTTCTAATGCATTAGTAAGTCCTGTACTGAAATACAGCTGTGTGATGGTTTCCCACCTACCCACATAACCCCCCTGCGCTGCTCTGTAACTGCATTCCCAGGACTGCAGCCTGGCAGAGGAACTCCTGAAGCAGCAGGTCCTTCTTGTTCTGTGCTTGTTTGCAGTATGATCCATACTTTAGTCTTGGGCTACCTGCTCTTGTTGCTATGGCATTAAAAGTCTATAATGCAGCTTTGGCTTTAGGCATCTGGAAGATGACGATTGTTTTTAAGAGGACACTTAGATCAGGAAAGCACTTCCCGTTGGGATGATCCTTTAGTCCTCTGTTAGCTGTGAACAAGGTGTGTTGGCATTGCGTGCCCTCACTTTTCTCCATTTTCTGCTTATCTGTGAACCACGGTTTGGAGATGTTGTTGTCAAAAAGCAATTCTATATATTGCTGTGCGTGATCTAGAAGCTTTTATTGTAGTGCAAGGGCTTGGATACATTCTGCTGCTCTGGATAACCTGGAAACAAATCTGGTGGTAAATCTTCTGACTGTTTGCCTCTGTATACTGCATGCTCACGGCTAGGTGCAGGTCTCACTGCTTCCTTATCCCTCTGCAGCTATTAGAAAATTACTTCCATTCCTAATATTCCTGAAAAAAACAGGGTTCAGGGGAAGTATTTAAGGTGAGAAGGAAACTGTCTGTCTTTGAGGAAAATCGAATTCTGCCTGCCCATTTTTGTAAACGGCTGCTGGTGTGGCTGATTGATGTCAGCTTAGGAAGTGGTCTTAAGACAGGGTGACAGTGCTCAGGTCAAAACAAATTCAGCTGCTTTTAGAGCATTTCCAGGAAAAATAGATCTGTCATAGTATTGGAAACCAGAATGTGTGAGTGCCTTTTGTGCACTTCCCTTAACATAACCTTCATCTAAAAGGAAGAGCTGCTAGGATTGGCCCTGGTGACCTGGCCTATTGGTGTTAGATGGAGCTTGAAACTGATTATTTCTCTTTTTCCCTGGCTTCCTTATTTTCCCCTTTCTGGAAACAAATTTAAAGTAATCCTGCAAATAGCTACAGTGCAGGGAGGAGATCAGTGATCAGAGATATTTTGTACTGCTCGAGGTAAGTTGTAGTCGACATTTATACGGCCGCTTGCTGCAGTTAATGTTTCTCAGCGAAGGTGAGCACTGGAGATGGGTTTAGCTCCGAGCTGCAGAGGAACCTGGTAGCATCTTGCTTGTGGCTTCCTGCTGGGGATAGATCCCAGCTCTCCTGTTAATGGCCAAGGGCTGCTCCTGGCCTCCATTCTAATTAACAGGTCACTCTAATTACCAGCACAATTTAATAAGTTTATTTAATGCTAAATAATCTTTAATGAACCAGCCTCCTTTTGTTCAAAGGAAGCAGGGATCTAGTCTACTGGAAAGAGGCTGATCTCCAGAATGTTAGCCTTTGTTTGGACTGCTTTGAAGAAGTTTCCAGTGATACATGTAGGCTTAAGCAGCAGTGTTGCAGCTCAAGGCTGGGGCATCCTTTGGGTGTGGGGAAACAAAGATGAGAGACCTTGGAGAAGCCTCACACTCCCTCTCTCCACCCCCTGCCTTCCCCAAGCTTCTGTGGTGCATCCAAATATGAAGATGGCCTGTTTTGGTGTAATAAAACTCGATTGTAGTAGAGCCAAGGGACTCAAACACAACATGATCCTGTTGTGTGGAATACTTTATTCTTTTGCTCCAACATGCTTTTAGTGAAAATAGTGATGGGCAAAAGGAAACTTTATCCCTGTCTTACTGCTGATGAAAGTTAGTAGTGATGCTCCTTGGCACATCTGTAGCAGCAGGACCAGGGCAAGTCCAAAAGGTTTAGTGTAATACACAACATGCCCATCTTCTTCAAAATTGCAGCTTTACAGATCAGCGTTTTTTAAATAAGGCAGTTTGAGAGGGAAGAAAACTTACTGAGATTTTCAGTGAAGGCACACACAAAAATTATTAGGTTTTGACTGTTTAATTAAAGAAAAATGTAGCAATATTTAATGATGAAGAATTAGGGTAATGAATGTCTTCCTTGTAGCTTTCTACAATTTATGATGATCCCATTTTGGTTCAAAAGTATGAAATGCAGCCCTGTTCCACTGCTCTCCAGGAGATGCACCACTCTGATTTTATTCTAGCCATGAAGATATTCTTGATGAGATTGTATATTCCCATCATACACATTAATTTAGTGGGAGGCACTGCTCTGTTTCATGGGGTGGAAAAAAATCCTCATTTGTTTTGAGTGTCTGTTAGGTAGAATTCAGTTAAGGTGAAGCCTAAAGCAGAGTGAAGAGTTATCAACCAGCAGGTGCCATTAACAGGAAATTGTGCTGATTTTATTCAGTATTTTTCCTTATTTGCAATAAAATGACTGCAGTTACAGTTAAATTGTACTCAATAGATGTAAAAGGGGAAATATGGATGTGGCTTATCTGAGTCCAGCCTTCTCCCTGGCGTGAAGAGGGAGATGGTGGAGCAGAACATCAGCTTTCAGTACTGCAGCGAGCGTGGTCGGCCTCAGCCCTGCCTCTCTCTTAGTCCCTGTCTTTCAGCGCAAAATGGGCATGTTGGAGAAAGAGTGGACCTTTGGGTTGTTGGAACTGGGAGCAAAGTCGTTTCCTTTTTTCCCCCCCTCACAAAACTGAAGAATTATAACTGACTTAAAATAAATCCCTCCCAGTTCTCTCCATCTGCCTTCTGTCTCAGCTCTTGGGGAGGTTATCTGTGAAATGTGGAAGGAATGATCTCGCACAGAAGTTATTGTGGCTTAATTTCTTTTTTAAAACTAATTTGTACAATCAATAGGCAGCAAGGCTGATATCTGTCTGGGGTGGTGAATGGTTTAACTGTGTTTGTACAGTACTTGGAATGGGTTGGAGACACGTTACATACATGCATCTAAAGCGTTATTTCCCTGACTGATTAAGCTTCTTGTGCTCAGACCGTTTTCCCCTAAGAAGTTGTCTTTTTCAAGTGTAGGATTGTGTTACAAAATGTAGGCTCTTCCGTTCCTTTCGTGAACTTCGGGAGTTGATTATAGGATGTGTAGCTGTCTCATAATTTGTGGGCAGCAGCTGCAGTGGAAGAGACTGCTAAGAGAGCTGTTCTGGTGAATTGAAATGCAAAGTGGATATTTAAATACAGCCTTGTAGTGTTAAGACCACTCTTTCTGGCATCTTGGGATAATGAGTGGCCTGGCAATCTCATACTGCAGCAATAGCCTCCAGACCTATTGCAGAGTAAAAATATTCAGAGCACAGTTTGGGGCAGGATGGCAGGGTGCTAAATTTGTTTGGTCATATTTGCTCAGCTCTGCCGTAGTAACTTATCAGCTAGAGCAAATATTCCCCATTACATCACCCACCTTTTTCAGCTGCAGTATTGATAGTTATCAAATTAGAGCTTTTTATATTCAGGGTGAGAATATGCAAAGACAAATCTAACGGAGTCAATAACACAGCAGTTGTCTTATCACTGAGCTGGGGAGAGTAATAAAATATATATGTTGTCGATATTTTGGTCCTGAACTATTATGAAGGTATTGACATGCAGCAGAAATACAGTATTGGCTCTCTTTGTCTCTTTTATTTGAGTAAAGTGTTTGGCCACAAACTTTATGCATTTTTCTACCAGACTTAGAGAGTGTGGGACGCATCCGCTTTCTAACCCTGCCAGCTGATTGCCAATTTATTTCAGGTCAAAGAATGTGCAGGTTGCTGCAAGGTAGTTTGAAACAGCATCTTTATTGTCACAGCTCACACGTTGGCCGAGTTCATTTGTTTCCCTACTTGTGCCCTCCAGGCATGCAATATAATCTTTCAACTGGTTGTTAGGACCAAATGGTCTGGTTTTTAGCTGTTTTGCTGCAGGCATGGTCCAGTAGGAAGCCCAGCAGGGCCTGTGTTCCCACTTTGCATGAGTTGATCTAATGATATTTTCTCCATTAACATTTGGAAGAAAGATCTAATCTGTTGGGGTGGGGGGAGAAATCTGTTTGAGGGTTGTCAGCTGGGGTGATAACTGCTAATCATAAATGGACCACTAGCTAACATCACAGATATACCTGGAATGTGTGTATTCAGTAAAATGTGGTTTGGGGGTTGTGTGGGGTTTTTGTTTTGGTTTGGTTTTTTTGGGGTTTTTTTTGAATACTGTTTGGGTGCCACAAGGTTACTTAACAGACCTATTCCTTTAACAGGTCTCCGTGTCAGTGGGCTCCACGGAGCACAGATAAGAGACACAGAGAGAAGTATGTGCAAGTGGTCTTCAGTACTTTTTATCTCTGAGTCTGCTCAGCTGTTATTTTTGTTTTGTAATACATACCCCTCGGCTTGACATTTCTCTTTTCCCTCCTCCCTCCCCCTGCCTTTTTTCCTTTTTTTTTTTTTTTTTTTTTACTACTTTGGGCTTAATTTGGGAAGGGGGAGGTTAGTTGTAGGGATTTGGATTTGGGCAGGCAGGATTTTCTCCCATGACTCTCAGCATGGGGAGACGCAGATCAATTCCCTATCCTGTGTTCAGCTGGACACGGTTATGGTGTGTGTTGATCAAGAAATCCCCTCCTGTTTTGTACCACATAACACATTCATTTCAGCCACTGAGCCTAAATTACTGTTTTGCTTTTCTTTCTTTTTTGATGAAATGGTAAGAACTCTTTTTCTATAGGGATGAAGTTAGTTTATCCGTGCTAATGCTTTGATTTTTTTTCCTTTTTTCTCTCTCTGCCACAGTAGGTAACCAGTTAGGGGCCCTGGTACATCAAAGGTAAGCAGTGGGTTATGTTTTATTATTTATTGATCAATTCTAATTGTTTATTGATCCACCATCTGTAGTAGTGTTAGAAAGTCAGAGGTTGAGAATGTGGAGAAACTAACAGCTTAGGTTTTCTACAGGCTGGGGTTTCTGCTAACCCTTTAAGGCTGTTTGTTGTGATGAAGAAATAAAGAGTTCGTATGAAACTTGGATTTGGTTCCTGAAAATCTGCAGGACTGAGCAGAATAAATGCTCTCTCCTCTGCCTTCCCCTGCACTGGGGAGGGAAGAAAGAAAAAGTAAAAAAAGCTCTGGCATTTTGACAGAAGTTGTAAGTATTAAATGGTCAGGTAGATTTTTTTTAATTTATTTTTTATTTTCAGGTTTTTTTGGCATAATATGACCTGGGTTGACTCTCTTGTCAAAGATGGTTTTGTACAACATGTCTTAGCATCTAATACAACAGTAAAATTAGGAAGGGGAGAGCATTTCTAAAGCTGGATTCACCTTTGGGCTCACAGTGTATTTCCATCATAACCAGCTGTTTGGTGTTTGCCTCAGCAGAGAGGACAAGCAGTGTACATAAAGACTGTGCAACCTTTGATTTTTAATGGTTAGGTTAAAGCTGATGGTCAGCTGGGGCACCACCCCAGCGATGTCTGCCCTCCTGCTACCTGCCACCTCTTCTGCCAGGAGTGATGTTCATAGAGGGAATTGATTAGTTTGAACAGCCTGAACTGGTTTCTTTCTGGTTTTGGTGGCTGGTTTTCTGCTAGGGTAGCATCTTTGTCCAGCTGCAACCGTTCCTCCAGCACAGGGTGGTTGCAGGATAGGATGTTTTGACAACAGGCTGGGTTTATTCCAGGTTGAAATAACTGTAATTCTCAAACTCCCTGTTCTGTTGTGGGACTGTCTGGTTTTGTGTCTCTGCTGGTGAGCCCCAGGACAGTGCAGAGTGCTTCATCTGGTGAAGTCTTCTGTGTATTTTATACCTTCCTTAACTGATCTAAAGCAAAAAAATAGGAAGATTTTAATACAACTCACCACAAAACCTGCTTTGAACTTATTATGCAGGTGTTTAATTGTTTTTGAGATTGCTGAGCAAATTGTATATCTGGCATATCTAAATGTATGGAGTTTGCAAATTCCATATGAACTGTGTTATATTTTCTATGAGGTAGAAATGGCTAAGCAAAAAACCATCCGAGGTAATTCCTTTCTACTTGACTATAGTCAGGTCTTGGGCAATTGCTTTGGGTGCTGTGTTTTGAGGCAGAGGCACATTGAAAAAGTCCAAAGAGCAATAGATATGGAAGTCTCAAGGTAATAAGACTTCAAAGGATAGTTGAAGTCTGCTTTTATAAATTCCAAGGAGAGGAATGATAAGGACAGGCAAGTAAAAAAAAAATAAAATAAATAAAATCTGTGAATATCAGAGGGGGCATTCATATCAGGATTGGCTTTGGCTCATGTCTCTCGGCAAGAGCATGTCCAAAAGTACTAGGCAGAGAATGTGGCTTGAAAGGTTTAGGCTAAATATTAAAGAAACTTTGCTGTTATTCTATTAAATCTGTCTGGAGCAAGAATGACAAAAAGAGGTGGTTCTGTCAGCTCCATTGAAGGTGGTGGAAGGTAGACTGGAAATGTATCCAGCGTAGGAGAAATGAGGTGACCACCAGAAGTCCCTTCCAAAACAAATGATTTTGACTGTGATGTAGTGTTCAGTTGTGTGTGCAAAAGGGTGCACTTGTGCTGTGCCTGGTTTCCCCAGCAGGGACATAGCTGTCTTCCAAATTGTTCTCTAAAGTGACTATTTGATTATTTGTTTCTCCCCCTCTCCCCCTGTTTTTTTTTTAGGGCTGTAATAACAGAAGAGTTCAAAGTGCCTGATAAAATGGTTGGATTTAGTAAGTACCTTGGATGCTTTTGATACGTTTCTTGGTGTGTTTTCTGTGCCGGAATGCTGTTTATTCTGACATGCTCACAAGTTTTTGTGCTTACTAGCCTTGGATAAGCCTTGTCTAATGCTGTCTCCATGGGGACCAGATGATCTGTTTAAAATCCAGATGCAAACTGCATGGAAAAGCTTGGTGTCCCACTAGTAAGAACAAGACTGTGGCACAAGTTACAGGGAGTTTTAGTGATTCTCTCCTTTAAATTCCCACTAGCATAGTACATAAGCAAGTCAGAAGTGAATTTATTTCCCCTCACTGAAACATTTTACTGCCTTTGACTATGAAAAACTGTGGGAGTTGAGGGAGCAAAACAGCATTTAAATGTTAAAATAAGAGTTGGCTCAGGGCAAGTTAAACAGAATTGAAAATCTCTTGTTCATTTGCTGCAGGGAGGTGCAGCCAGCGTGTATCGCTCAGATGAGAATTTTTCCTAGATTTGCATTCCTGATGCTGTTCTCTTTCAAGCTTGATCCTAATTTCTCTCTTCCTCTGATGACTGTTACTCTTCCTTTCAATGGCACCTCCTGCTGCTGTGTTACCACAGTGATTGCATAGACTCTTCCACTGCTAGATCTCTGTGTAGCTCTTCCAATTTGATACGTGGAGAGTAAAAAGGAAAATAACAGGCCATGATAATTACCCCTTAGTGCCTGAAGTTTTGTCCCAACTCTAAAGAGACTATAAAACTGTAACTCAAATTCCTGCAAAGGAAATGATCGCTCTTCTCCTGCCAGATACCTCTTCATTCATCAATCCTGGCACTACGTGTAGGGGAACGTTGGAGGGATGCTGTAGCTCCAAGAGAGGGGAGCTTGGATGCTCTGTTGGTGCATCAGCGCTGTGTTAAATCTAATCCTCATCAGGGCAGACAGATGCAGGAGAGTGGCAAACCCACAGCTGAGAGCTGCTTCTGTGGGAGCATCCTGAGCTGAGCATACCTGTTTGACTTGACAGTTTTGCTCTTTTTGCAGTCTGGGAAGGATATGAATAGTGATTGACACATAGTCTCTCTTCAGTATTTCTCGTTGTGAAACAACAATGTGCCTACTCCAAGAGTTAGGGGAGATGAGTATTTGTTTTCACTTGAGGCTGATAGAACATTTAGGTTGATAGAACATTAGGTTGCCCAGGGAAGTTGTGGATGCCCCCTCCCTGGAAGTGTTTAAGGCCAGGCTGGATGAGGCTTTGAGCAACCTGATCTTGTGGAAGGTGTCCCTGCTGATGGCAGGGGGTTTGGAACTAGATGATCTTTAAGGTCCCTTCCAATCCAAACCATTCTATGATTCTATTTCAGTATGTAGCAATCCTGTCTGAGGGCACACCAGCATGTCCGTTGAAAAGTGGCACTGAAATATTAATTTTAAAGAAATAAAAGCAAAAGTCCATGCCTTTTTTAGTACCCCAAATAACACTGCTTTATTGGTTCAAGCTGAACAGGATATACTTAAATGATTGTTTTAGCAGCACTCAAACTACTAGTGCCTTATTTCTTGCATACTATGTAATTCCATTCCAGTGCAAGACAGGCTGTTTTGTTTTGTTTTTACAAGCAAATAGAATAACTTTCAGTAGTACTTTAATGTTTTTGTGCTATGATAAATTTGGTCATGCTGTGGATGCTGCAATCCTGGAGTTGGAGACGAGCTGTTCCTTTGCAGATAGCTGCAGCGGAGTGAAAGGGGGAAGGTGCTCTGTAGTTACTTGGAAAAACGGTGTGTTCTGATGCTTGTTGAACTCATTTCAGTAATCGGCAGGGGAGGAGAACAGATCTCACGGATTCAGGCAGAGTCTGGCTGCAAAATTCAAATTGCTCCAGGTAAGAGCCTCTTTGTATGGCAAGTGAACACGTTTTAATGTTGAAGGATGTTGTGACCATTAGATCAGGCACCTTGCTGTGCACATGGCATGTTATCACTGTTAACAACTGATGTATACTAGGCTAACAGGCATGGGAGAGCTGTTGGGGGACTGACCTCCTGACTAGCATAGAAACCAGGTTTGTCAGATGGTTTGGGGAATGAAACAATGAAGGAACTGTCTTTAACCAACAGATGGGTACAGTGCAAGTGGACAATCCATGCTGTACTTAGACCTGAGATTGCAGCTGTTGAGTTTTCTGCTGGTGGTACCACTTTGCTCAGCTCTGCGGTTTGTCTCTGATTAGTCTGATCAGCTCCAACTCCTGGCAGATGACGTTCCAGGAGGGTGGCAGCAGTTCTTCATAGAACTTGTCTTGAGTGGGTTTGTTTTGCTTTGGGAAGACTGCACTACAGTGCTGTACAGGAAACTTGATAAATGTAATCTAAGTTCTTACCCCTCCCTTGATGGGGAAGGCTTTAAAAGAATGCAGACATCCAGCAAATAATTTTAAATGTGTTGACCCTGGATGTCTTTGAATTCATTAACGTGCTCTGTGTGCAGGGTGGGGGGGTGCCTCTATTAGTGCATGATAGTTACTGAAATATCTGCTGTTTTTTAATTTTAATTCCATGTATTAAAAGTTTCCCTCTTGTTTCCTCTGTAGACAGTGGTGGGATGCCCGAGAGGCCCTGTGTACTCACCGGAACTCCAGAGAGCATTGAGTGAGTTCTGATTTCGCTTCTCTCCTTTCTCCTTCTCTCTCTTCTCCCTAATGCTGTGCTCTGTCAGTGGTGCTACTTGGTTAGCCACACCAGTAAATGTTGGCCTAGTGAAAACTTGAGGGTGTCTGGAGCATAGAACCTCTTGGTCTGATGCTTTAAACTGTGCACCTCAAAGGCTTTTTTCCAGTTGCAGTTTGAACCCTCTGCAGAAATTTCCATGGAATTCCCCTGCGCAGGGCAAGGTTGCTCTTAGGGCACCTAGGATGCAGTTTTCTAACTGCAGCTTTCCAGGATACTGAGCTAAGCTGTTGAAGGGCACTTCTCTTCTCCCCTTCACTTCCCTACTCCTATGAGATGTCCATCCCTCCAGCTGAAGAAGGGCTGCATGAGGCCTCCAAAGCCTGTCGGTGCCGCTCCAGAATAATCTGGAGATGTTGGTGTTGTTGCAGAGCAGCATGAGGCCCATGGGTGTGCTTGCTTCTGCATCGCTGCCAACAAGAAGCAAAGGACTGAACCAAAGTCTTGAATTCTGATCCCTGCATGGTAGAGACACGTGGCCAGCCAACAGGGATTTCTACTCTTTAGACCTATAGAAACTTTAGGGACAGTGTTTCCTCCCTCCCCCTTCCCAGGAGCTGAGTTTGAGACTCTCACAAACCAGTTGAGGACCTCCTGCTGGAACTGGATCCAGGATCCTCAGGCTTACAGGAACACACTTAACATATGGAGCTGCTCTTTCTCTCCCCAGCCTTTGGGTAGGTGGGTTTTTTAAAATCCATCTGGAAATCTTTGAGTTGCATTTGGTAGTGAAAATACATGGGCGCAAAGACTGTCTCTCTAAAGAGAAGACGCTCATTATTCTTCCATTCCTAAGAGATCTAAAGGTACTTAAATCTCCTTGTTCTACCATAATACTGCAAGCAGTGAGCCAGAATAAATGTAATTGGCAAGCTCACATTATAGGGCAGGCAATGTATTCTTGTTGATATTGAAGTGCTTTCCCCCCTTTAGCAAAGGATATTTCAGAACAAGAGCAAAATATTAAAAAGCTGGGATGCCTGATGACATGCAGTTGGGGGAAGATAGGGGAAAGCTATAGTTGAGACTTCATGGTTCTGAACTAAGCAGTTGAATGTAGTCATGTCCAAGGCTGCCTTTAAATAAAATATAAATAAGTAAATAAAAGAAAAATGAGAGTACTCAATTTGTGAAGCAGAACAAGGTGTTGAGGACATGGAATTAGGTGAAATTTAATTACTTTTGGGCTAAAATTCTTGTCAGGTTGGTTGTTTGAACTGGTTTTTTTCAGGCTACTAGTAGAAAAAGAAAAGTAAGGAAACCAATCTAGAAATCAGACTTCTTTGTAAAGAATTTTGCATGAGGAATGTTTCCATTAGTTATATCCAGTGGCAAACTAATAGAGTTAATTTCCAGTTGGCCCCTTCTTGTCTGAAATAGGTTGTGCATTAAGTGTTGTAGTCTCTGTATTGTTACTGAAAGAACTCTATGCAAAATATGAAGATAGATGGATAAAACCTCTTAAGACTCTTCCAGAGTGTTTGAAGTGGGCTTCTAGAAATTCCACTTTTTACCTTGTTTTGTGAGGAAAGTCAAGAGAAAGCAGTGCTCTGTTTGGTGTGCAGCCTCAGATCACCCCGCCCTGAGCTGTCGTGGGTCAAGGTGTGTTTGTGAGGGATGACTTCGTATTGCTTCTTCAAATTTTCACAGAGAAGACAGTCCTTCTAGAGTGCCTGATATGGCTTGGTATGAAGTGGAGAGAGGGGAAGGTGCTGCTTTAGACTGAACAGGGAACTGGTGCCTTTCTTCTGCCTACTTTGAGAAGGGTTATGGGAGAAGGGCAGGAAAGAGATGTCTTGGTACTAGGAGTGTTCAAGATGAAAGGAAGCTTTGTCAGCTACCTCTGACATGCGAAAGATTTCAGAGAAGGTATTTTTAATCTCCCAAATGCTTCTTTGTGTCTGTCTCTTCTCACCAGGAGTAGAACCCCCCAGTCTTTCACTGGTTGCTGCTGCAGTATCCTCGCTTTGTGATGTAGCTTCAGCTCCTACTGCCTGGGGCAGAGACTGTGTTAGAACAGTGTTCTGGTGCTGCTGGTAAGAGCAGGCAGAGAACAGCAAGGCAATTGCCAGGGACTGATCAGAGAGTGGTTAATCAGTGTGCTGTGTTAGTATCAGAGCAGTGTGTGGTTTTTGTCTTGACCAAGAAGAACAGAGCTTGAGTTTTGCTAAATATTGCGTGCATATGTGTATACATGTATATATATGTTAAAAAGAGTTTAGAAAAGTTTGGAACATAGAGCATCTTCATTCAAAATAATCACCCCAAATGCTATAGCTCAACCATTATGCTTAACTTCCAAAGAGGTCAGAGCATGCTGCTGCTCTTCCTTCTCTCTTCCCCTTTTCAAAAATCAGACTGCTTATATGTAATCATGATAGGGGAAAATATACATCAAAGTTAAAAAAAAACAAAAAAAAGCAAACATTGTGCTAACTGTGACTTCCTTCATCTTTTCACTTCTTCTCCTCTCCCCGATCGCTTCCCATTCCAATGGTTCCTGGTCTCTTGGTCACGTGGAACAATGTTGTCTAATGGTTGTTTCCCTCGATTCTTTTCCAAAGACAAGCAAAACGGCTACTGGGGCAGATTGTAGATCGCTGTCGGAACGGACCTGGTTTTCACAACGATGTTGATGGCAACAGTACGATTCAGGAGATTTTGATCCCGGCATCCAAAGTGGGTCTAGTCATCGGCAAAGGAGGTGAAACAATAAAACAGTTGCAGGTGCGCAAGATGCATTTACTCTAGGGCTCTCTTCCCTACTGCAGCTTCTCTAGATCAACAAGAGCGTGCTGAAATGGAGACCCTTAAATGCTCTAACCTTCTACAGCAGGGACTACTCTTCTGCCTTCGGAAAGCTGGACTCAAATCCTGTCTTGTGTTAAAAAAGAAGTAGCTTTGGCCCCCGCTACACATGTAGCAGAGTTTCGCCAGAACTGTGAAAGAAACTCATGTGCTTTAGATAACATTTGGTGTGTGCTGTTAGGAGGGGATCCTTGTAGCCAAGAAAAGTCACTCTCTAGTCTGCTGCTGCAATAGTTTTTAATGCCAGCCGTGCTGTTGTAGAGTGCTCTGCTTCTCTTCTCTTGCTGATCTGTGATAAAGCTGGTGTGTCTTCCTTTTTTTTCCCCTCATCCCACCCCTTTCTAATTAGAAGTCTAATTTTATGTATAAATCTCTGTTCCTAGACATTCTTTATTCCTCCATCTGGCACAAGTTGGGGTTTTTGGTTTTTTTTAAAGAGTAGAGGGTTTCAGAAAAGCACCTAGGTCAAAAAAGTAGGTTTTTGAGTTCCCTGATTTAGACCTCTGTCATCCAATAGTTTTAAGGCTGGTTGCTTAATAACTACTATATGCAGACAGCTACAGATTATTGAAAGGGCTGAAAAATCAGTTTTTGAGGTAGAAGGGTTCTCTTTTTGCAAGGGATTCAGCTGTTTGAGAAGTTCAGGAGTAGCACACTTTCTGGCAGTCTTGTACACTCTAGGACTGTTACTGAATTTGTGTTATAACTACCCATGAAGAGCTAAAGTAGTGTTCTGTAAAGCTGCTGACTTGACCTACATAATGTTTAGTAACCAAAATATAGTCCCTGGTTTTAGGGACTGTGCTTAGCAAAGTGCTCTGTGCTTTTTCTTCAGGAGCGGACAGGTGTGAAAATGATTATGATCCAAGATGGACCGTTGCCTACTGGAGCAGATAAACCTCTCCGTATTACTGGGGATGCATTTAAAGTACAGGTATGTAATAAAAGGAAGCAGTTGTCCTAGAGACTCAGGAGAAATTCAAACTTTAACGTATTTGTGAGCATCTAATGGAGTTGAATCCAACTGTAAATGTAACGATCCTTGCTGGTTTTGTTTGTTCTAAGTTTGAATAGAGCAAGTTAAAACACCAGACTAGCAAGTGTTGGCTTGTTCACAGCGTAACCCAGGAGCTCTCAATTAGACATGGGCAGGAGAAAAGCTGAGGAGGAGGGTTTGGAGAAAGTAGCTTTGAAAAGCTTTCCAGGCTGTGAAGCAGAAATCATGGCTATATGTTACTTGAGCAAATGAGTTCTACTTAACCACCCATTTGAGAAAGTTTTGTGGAAGGTTCATTATCTCAGACAGCCAATTGACGCAGGTAATTAAAAAAATAAAATAATGCCATGACAACTCCTGAAACCAAGGGGTTTGCTTAATATTGGTACCTCAGTCTCCTTGTGTCAGGGTCCCACAGATATGTTCATACCTGCGGTTCAAAGCAAAAACCCATGATCAGCTGGAGACCAGACGATTGTAGCGTGGTGGGAATGATTGAATTGAAGAATTAAAGTTTATCTGGGGCATGTTCCACTTCTCAGCAAGTGCTTTTCATACCTTGCTAAGTACTTAAATCTAGCTTAGCATTCCTGTCTCTAATAAAAATTTCTGTTTCATAGGAAATTGTGCAGGGATAGTATGTTTGGGTTGTATTTTTCAAGCCTCTTATTGCAAGTGAACTTTTAGATTTAAATGTTTGGTTTTGAGGTTTTTTGGGGTTTTTTTGTTTTTTTTTCCAAATTCTTATACTTATTGTGGAGGTATAGATATGTAAAAAGGAATTTAATGGCAGTCTTGCTACTTTTGACCAAATCATACTTTTAAGTGCTGCTGCTTCCCAAGTGGTTTCTTCTGACTTGCAAGATTTGTTGTTGTCACATCTTCTGTGCCATAAACCATGCCAAGCAATTGTGGAGACTGTGTAGGCTGGAAGATCTTTGAGGCACTTAGAAAAGTTGAGCACACTCAGAAAGTGCTTAAGAAGTCTGATGAATCTTTAGGTTTGGTGGGATTCTCTGGATGCTGCAACAGTTTCTTAACTCAAATCCCTGTGAAATCTCTCCTTGCCCTTATTTCTGTGTTGGCATCTCTGAAATGTCTTTGAGTTGTTTCTTTCTGTAAAAAATATCATGGGGGCATGGAAAAGATGTAAAAATGTGAAAGGAGTCAGATTCACCAGTGACCCTCAAACTTGGAAATAGAACCAAAATGTCAAAAGCTTGACTGGTAATATATAGAAACAAAGGCTTTGGTTTTGACATAGAGGCTTTTTTTTAATGGTGGCTCCTGTTGGCTTATTTCCAAGGTACACTTTTACCAGCTGCACTACATGCAAGCTTGTGTGCGGCCTTGAGGGCTGTAAGTAGGTAGGAAGAACATTAATGTCTTGACAAATGTCTTGCTGGATTGCTGCAGACTTGGGCTTAACTTTTCTGAGTGTCAGTAAGCTCACTACTGCCTACCTGCCCTCTTGTTACGTGCTATCTAGCTCTTAGTGGACATGCTCTCTGCTGTGCTACCACAATTGATTACTCTATTGATTTCAGTTCTACCCAGTAGGAAAGGGCCTTCCCTTCCTTTAATTTAAAAACCAACCAAACAACAAAAAATGACAAAGAGATTTTGAAAGCTAAAGGGCCTTTTTTGAAGAACTGAAGGAAGCAGTGGCAGACAAGAAGCTGCCACCTTCCGCATTTGGCAGGTTTTGTCAGACATGGAAGATGCCATTGACAACAGATCTCCATTGACTATGGTAAAAGAAATTCTAAATCAGGAATACTGCTTCTGCCAAGCAGATGGAGATTGCTTTGCCTGAAGCCTGACCATTAGCCACTGTTGAGGCCCTAACACCAAGATGGCAAGCAGAAGAATTTTAAGCTAACTGTAACTTCTTTCCCCATGTAGCAAGCGAGGGAAATGGTACTGGAGATCATCCGAGAGAAAGATCAGGCAGACTTCCGAGGCGTACGCAATGATTTCAGTTCTAGAATGGGAGGAGGCAGCATAGAGGTATGTTTTCTTCACGACTACTCTGCTAACCTCCCTGTGGGATGGGTAGTGGGTGGAAGTCATCAAATTGCTCATGTAACCTGTAAGCTTATTTTTAAATGCATTGTGTTCTGTTGCCAGAAGAGTGAGTCTGGCTGCAAAGAAGGGGAGTTCTCATGGACTCCCAGATGGCACTTTTCTAATTGTGCTGCATTCTTGTAGTGCAGAGTTCATTTAGTGGGGAAGGAATTTGTGGCCACATGTTTATTTTTCTTAAGGGATATGGTTCTGTAGCCTGGAGCTGCTTAATGTGGCCTGTTCTCATAGTTAAGAGCATCCCCTTGTAAAATCAGAGTAATTCAGTCTAGTTCTCTGAGCTTTCATGCTGCTTTGCCTTTCCCATCAGGTCTCTGTGCCCAGGTTTGCTGTTGGAATTGTGATAGGAAGAAATGGAGAAATGATCAAAAAGATTCAGAATGATGCTGGAGTTAGGATTCAATTTAAACCAGGTTTGTGTGAGGATGGAGAGCCGTTATTTTCTAACCAGTGTTCCAGTTTGGGATTGCTAAAGTGAATCTGATCTGAGGTCACAGCAGCTAGGCTTTCCTAATTTAAAGGTGTATGTGTCTCTTTCTGAAACATGTTTAAATATGATGTGCTGCTTCCTCGGACACTTTCTGTTTTTCAGAAAGTAAGATTATATACACCTCATTTGCAAACATTAGGTGTCACAGCAGTCATGTCTTGGGTGGTAATTATATGGATAAACAAAATAACAATAACAAAAAACCTTTTATTTCCTGTTAAAGAATTCTCCTTCAGGACATTAAAGCCTTTGGGGATCAGGAGTTGATTAATTCTAAGTAACTTTCTCTGGGTCCTTGGCTGTCTGATCACCTATCAAAGCTGCCTTTGTCCTCTTAAAATTGTATCGGTCTCTTTCATGGCTTTTTGACATTTGAAAATGCTGCCTTTTGAATGTTGTTCCTTCTGCAATGTGGCTTGGGTTTTGTCTTCTTTCAGTCCATGGAAGAGGGGCTGAAGGTGGAGGGAAGAGGTAGCTCTTGGGGTAGTTATGTTGTGTGAAAACGCTGCTGGCCATGGTGATGTTAGACAGAAGCTTTTGTTGGCAGGTGGATGTTTTCTCCTTTTAATTTAGTCTTTGCCATCTCTCTTCACAGATGATGGGATTAGTTCTGAAAGAGTCGCACAGGTCATGGGGCTTCCCGATAGGTGTCAACACGCAGCACACATCATCAGTGACCTCATTCTCACAGCACAGGTGAGTTCTGGAGACTCTTGCGAGGAAAGTATTAGTATGGGAATGTAGCCTGCATGTTTGTGGCTGTGTGGATGGATGCCACCATCTGAAGAACAGCAATGTTAAATTTTCTCTCTGGTAGGGCACACATGCTGCTGCCCAGGACAGAACTTTTAGGTTTATTTTCTGTTTATTTGGGTTTTTTAACATGATATGGGCTGACTGAGCTATGGGAAGATCTCCTGTTCTCAGGTAGCATTATGAGGCCTCATTGTAGCTCCATGTTTACCCCCTATGTTTAGTTGTTCTTAAGTTATTTGGAAATGGTGAGGTGGTGGGATGGAGTCCAGCAGTACCGTGAGGCAGTGACTGGAGGCTCTGTTCAGACAGCAGAGCATTAGTGGTGCTCAGTGATGCCTCCTCTTCAGACTCCAGTCCTGGTCTAGTGGCCGTGGGAGGCAGGGGAGGCAGTGAATGTTCACGTATGTGGTCACTGTGCTCTAAGAAAGACACCAGCGTGTTGTATTGCCCAAGAGTAAAGAAGTACAAAGATGGGTGAAGTAGTAGGGCAGACTCATGACAGAGGTTGTATATTCCCTTTGTATTAAGAGAAGTAAAGATGTTAGAGCATTCCAGACCAGGTACCTGAGCATAACTTCTCCATCAAGGGTAGGTCTTTATATCTCTTCTTGCACTGAGATCTGATTTTAATACCTGATTTAATAATTTTTTTTAATCATCCACTTAAATTTTGAGGTCTGTCATGATAGCCTCTGACTGCCCATGGCCTTTGCTTTTGGGGAAATCAGTTACCCAAAATAGGTATGTCCTTTTAAGTGTCTTTGAACTTAAAAGCTTCCTTTGGAAGTTTTACAAAATATGCATTTCAGCTGAGTAATTCCAGAAGTTCTTTAAAGAATGACACTTGAAAGGGTTTGGAAGCAACTTCTGTGTGCGTCAGTGCCAAGATCTATTGGTTGCTCTAAGGAAAGCCCTCATCACAAACTAAAAAGTCCTTTAGTAGTTGATACTTGTTTATAGGTTTATTTCAGCAGCTATGAAGGCATGCATTTAAAAAACATAAATATCTTCCTGAGTCAGGAAGGCAACTATAACCTACATTACTTGGCATTCTTTTAAAGTGCTTCAAAATCTTGAATGTGAAACTGAAGTCCAAGAATATCTTCATTCAGTGCCATTGATTATAATGCAGTTTAACTTACATTGCTTTATTTTATTTTTAATGTGCATTGGGACCAGCAAAAAAAACACTGATAAAATTTTTTTGCCTTCCAAGGAACGAGATGGCTTTGGAAGTTTGGCTGTTGCCCGAGGAAGAGGTCGTGGCCGTGGAGACTGGAGTGTTGGAACACCTGGGGGCATGCAGGAAATAACCTACACGGTGCCAGCCGATAAGTGTGGTCTTGTTATAGGCAAAGGTGGGTCCAGTGACACTAAATACTGGAGCTTGCAACCTTTCCCTCTCGGGATGGTCACATTCTTGCTGCCTGACAGTGAGGCTTTGGAGTTTTCTGTAATTGCAGGTATTTAGTGGCCGGTGAATGCAGCATAGGAATAAGCTATAAGCGCTTGTGGTTGTTTCTTTGTGGTGCTCTCACTCATAATTGTACTCTCCAGGCCCTTGTTCACAATATGTAAGAGAGGCTCTTCATGCAGAGCTGTCAAGTAAGCTTGTTATAACAAGCAGCTGGCTGAGAAAAGGCAGGTTCATTTGTGGATTCTTTTTATAGAGAATTCGTTTAAAGGACAGTTTATCAGGGAGAAGCAGAACAGTCATTTTGTTGTGCTGGATTTCGGTGAGTGCCATGTGATAAAATGGAAGGTCTCTGAATGTGGTAATAACAGTAGCTGCTTCCAGCCACGTACCTGAAGTGTCTGATGAATAAAATGAAGTAGCAGGATTTGTCTATATCTAAGCCTGTCACAGAGCAGGCTGGTGCACCTGGTCTTGCTCAGATGAGCATGGTCACTGCCATGGAGGCCCCTTGGCTGTCTTAGCTCTTGAATTAATGACTCCTTGTCCATCTCCGTGCTAAGGAGATGGACAAGGAGTCATCTGACCTTCCTCTCAAGAACCAGTACAACCCCAAGACAGTTATGAAACCAGAGCATCAGCAGCACTCCCAGTTTGTCATAGAGCATGAGTTACACATGGGGTACTGTCTGTCCTTAGATGAGAGCCAGGAATAGAAGAGCTCGGTCGCTCTGAATTGTTGCAATGCTTCTCGGTTAATACACTGACGTATCGAAGGAGTTGTATTTAATTTTCCTATCTGCTTATTTCAGAAAGAATGACATGTGCCTTTACTAGTATTTAAGTAATCACAGTTGGCTTTTAGCCTCAGCAGAGATGAGGTGAATAGAATAGGAACAAATTAGCTACAGCGGTAAAGGAGGCAGAGATTTGAGGGCATTGTGCCATGTTTCAGTGACATTTAGATTCCTGCCATCCTGTTGAGCAGAGTGAGCTCGTGATGAAACGTGTTATGGCCTCTTTCCCCTGCTACATCTCACTTCTTCCCTTCCATGTAGCTGGCCCCTGAAGCACCCTGAACTCCTGCCTTATTGGATGACAAGGGACACAGCTATGGGACGCAGGCGTGTCAGCAGTGTGTCTTCATCGTTTTCAGATGTTGTCCTTTGCCGTAAACCTGTTCACAGAGCTGAAAACTTTTTTCAATATGAAAAAACCAGCTGCTCTCCCCATTCTGCAGAAATTACAGAGCGATTGTGCTTGATCTCACTGAACAGTCCAGTTGGGCAAAAGATCAAGCAAAGCAAATTTTAATCCCACAAGTGAGAGTTAGATGTATGGAAAAATCAAATTATAATGAAACTTCATTGCTGTATCCATTAGTCATCCTTAATAAAAGATCAGAAAAGGTCACTTGTTGTTCAGCAGTGCACTGAAGTGGAGCATTTGCGACTACTGAGAGCCCCGTGTGCTGAAAAGATAAATGCAGGTAGCGGGGTTGGATGTCCTAGCATTCAAGTGCAAGGCCTGGCACAGGCTCGCTGTGGGGGAGAAGTGAAGCTTTTTACCTTTGTTTCCACAACAGCAAAATAGGGATTCTTACCCGGCCAGATCAGAAGCTTTCTGGAGTGACTAATTACTAGTTGTATGGTGATTTGAGTGCTTGTAGCTTTGTAATACCACCTTGTAATCGGTGTTCTTACAGTGCCTTTGCTCTTAGTCTATTGCAGCCTTCATTTTTGTCAAGTGAGTGATGGCTGTAGCGTTGCTGTTGGGGCCTGGACCAGGATGGATGTACTACACTCTCTGTATGTTGATGCCAGACACCTGATTCTTCTTATTTCCTCTCCCACTGCCTGTGGGGGAGCGCAGGGGAGAGGGGATGTTAGTGGGATTTTCTTAATAGTGAACAACTGTAAAATCTTTGCTCCTTCCTTTTAGTTTCTGAGTAGTTTACAAGTGTTGTTTGGGGGTTTGGGAGGTTTTTTATCCTCTCTTCTCTTACCTGTGATACAGAACTTGGCTGTTAGCCTTTTCTATTAAAATCTGACCAAGTCCTCTGGCCACACGTAGCTTGGTCTCTGAGGTTAGCACCCAAGCAATGGGTATCTTGGGCACCTGGGTGTAGTGTGTACGATGTCTCTGGGTAGCTGTTGCTGTCCTTCCAGCTCTGTTTCACCACTGAAGAAGGCGGGGGAAAGAGGAAGATGAGGAAATTTCTCAGCTCAGTTTCTGCCCCCTACATGAGAGATCTGGGGCCCTCTTCTCATGGACGTCGTTCTCTGTTTGGGAGTGTGATCCTTTCTGAGCTGATAAGAAGTGCTGGGCTCGGTGCAAATCCTGTGTGTAGCTTTTTCCTCTAGAGGGTGGGTAGGTGCGGCTTTTCTTTTCTGAAAGACTGGAGGAAGGGTGGAGACGAGCACCATACACATGTCAAGTGCTTTCTCTGTTTGGCCGTGCTTGGAAACAAACCGCGGCCTCTCTGGGCCCCCGCTGGATTTCCATGATAAATACAGCAATATTGACAGATAACGTGGCTGGCCTGGCTCTTGTCAGCTCTGCCTTTTAGCAGATTTGATTAATTGCTTTACGATTTCACGTCCAGCTGGGGGGCCACTCTTGGATCACTTCTGCCCCCCGTCAGGTAGAAGAATGGAGCGGGCTGTTGAATGAGGCTATAGACAGGCACCATGTGCCGAGCAGGTCACCTCATGATGGGGGGAAGATGAACTCCTTCCGGCACCGCGCAGCATCGTGTTGACTGCGTCACTTCATTTGCATGCTCTGGAGGTTGAATTGGGATAACTTGGATGGGAGGGAGCACCTTGGCATGTACCAGAATGAAGGGTAAAGAGGAGAAGGGCACCAACTCCTGGTAGGAGCTTGCAGCCTCTGACCAAACCTGGAGAGCCAAGTAACTTCATCCTGCAATAAATACAGGCTAGGAGAGAACTGATGTGGAAACAGCACCAACAGCTACCAACTTAGTGCTGAATGCTAAGTGGGGAAATTATTTGAAACATATGTTCTCCTTACTTCTAGTTTGATGAGACTACTTCAAATTTTATTCCCCTTTTGGAAAGAGAAACATAATCTGCTGTGCGAGTCGCAACCTGTGGTTATGCCTCTGTCACCCAGTAAAGAAATTCTCCCACTTCTTCATGAGCCAGAGTGTGTTGGCTGAGAGGGTCCTGTGTTTTCATTAAGCAGATGAAGTGGCTGTTGGTTCAGATCTCTCCTCAGTATGTAAAACCAGAGCTTCACACAAGTCTGCATTAGACAAAAGCATTACATTAAAAAAATCTTCTTGGTTTTCAAACTTCGTCTTAGCGCTTTCCCATGCTCAACTGGAATTAAGTGGCTTGGCTTTTGCCTGCACAGTACAATCCCTGTTGTCTGCCAAGGGATGTGACACGATTATCTTTTGTTAAATGCATCTTCAAAAATTCATTTAGAAAGAGTTAATTGCCCTTTGGCAACTTTTCCTCCTCCCTTCCCCAAGAAGGCTTTAAAATGTTAAAAAGGTCACGAGTCCATTACAATGAAATGAACAAGTGTCTGCAACATCCACAGTTTGTTTTGAAGTTGTGCTGGATGTATAGAGATGGAAATGCCAGCAAAATTGAGAAGATTTTTTTTTTTTCTGACACTCTTTTTAGTTAAAACCAAACAAAAATCCCTGGTTAGTTTCCTTTCCTTTCTTTCCTGCTTGCTGTATATCCTTTTGGCTGGTGATTTTTGGTTTGTGATTTAAAAGTTCTAAAACCCTTTCCTTCCCCACACCCTTTAATTTCTTCAGTTGAGTGGAGCTGGTCTCTAAGTTGTGTGAGCTTCCAAAAGAAGAATTGAACCATTGTAACATTGGCTGAGGCTTTTGTTAAGCAAATTTCATTAAGAGACCGGGACCTAGCAGGTCTTCAGGAAATCAGATCTACTTTGGCTGGCCCTGCCGCATCCTGCTCGCAGCACTCCAAGCACTCCTGTGCTCTAGTGTATCCAGATGGCAAACTAGCCAGATGTGTTCACTGAATGCACAACTAACTCTGAAATAGCAGAAGACTGCCTGGAATCCTGCACACTGTGGTTGTGTGGAGGGATGCACACACTGCAGTGTGGTAAGTGGAGGTTTCTTTAAGGTAGTAAGCTGTTGAACAGCACGTGATTGTGAGAAAGCTTAAGCTTTGTTTTTAAACTACAAGATACGTGGCTGATGGCCTTTTGCCTTAGTGGAATGAAATGTCTAGTGATGGAAAAAAAAGCCTCATGGAAGAAAGAAAAAGCATGTTCCAGTTGCAGGTGACTTTCTTTTCTTGAGGATTGTGAGCAGCTGTTCAAAAGCACTGGAATTTAGTCAGTGCGGTTTTTGCATCTGGTTTGTCAAAGTGTCTCTCAACCGTGCTGCATTTTGTTGGGAGCCTAGCAGTGTGCACACAAAGGGGATCGTGTGTATTCTGAAAACAGCATCAGTCCTGACCCCAGAAAGCATTGTGATAGCTCACAGTTTCAGGTGATGCTTATGAGGCAGTTGAAAGGAGCAACATGAGCTCAGGTACTGTGGCCACTTATTCTATTGCCATCCCCAGCCCACCTCTCGTGAGGCGTGCAGTAGGTAGTGGAAACTATATTCCATGAGCAGTGTTAGGCTTTTATGGCTTCTTATGTCTTGGTTTTCTTTTCTTCAGGTGGCGAGAACATCAAGAGCATAAATCAGCAGTCGGGAGCCCATGTGGAGCTCCAGAGAAACCCACCTCCAAACACAGACCCTGGTGTACGAATATTCACAATCAGAGGAGTTCCTCAGCAAATTGAACTCGCTAGACATCTCATAGATGAGAAAGTTGGTGTAAGTTCCATCTCTGTTGACCTTAGTCTGTCTCTTTCAGACATGGTGTTTTCACTCTTGGGTACATGTAGGCCTGGACCTACAGGATGGCACAGAATACACGTGCTTACATTATTCAGCTTCAGAACCATTTGCCTGTTAGAAACTGTCTTGAACTGTGATGGCCCTTCAGCATCCATAGGATTAATTTTTGCTGTGGTCCCAGAAGGATCTGACTCTGCTGAGATAATCATGGGTAGCATACAGCTGTATGAGAGGGAAGAACAGCAATAAAGAGGTGTGAGAAGGCTGTCAAAGGAGATTTTTTGAAGGGAAGACAATAGTGTCACTGTGTAAGAATAACGCAATCCTGGCATCATCATCCTGAAAGTAACCCTCAGCTCCTTGCTCTAGTACATCCAGGATGACTTTATCTTCTGCTTAATGCAGTGCTGTATTGAAGCTTAATAATGTCAGGCTGGGGTGGGAGACTTGGGTAAAAGAAAGTCAAGAGAATACTGAACTGGGGCATGGTAGAGTTGAAAAGCAACTTTTATGCTGAACTGCCTGAGAAGGGAAAGCTTGATACCAACCTCAGGATCTAAGCTATTCAAAGGAAAGTTTCCAACTGTGCCATAGTCCCGTTAGCCCCTTTGTGGGCTGGCCACAGTTGCTTTTGAAGCTGGGCTCCTAGAGTGTGCTGACAGTTCTGAGAACTTCTTCGTTGGAGAATCACTCACTTCTTTCAGGTGCTGAGGTTTAGTGAACGTGCCCCAGGCTGTCTTCTCCCATTTCTTACTGCTTCCACCCTGTGCTTAGAGCTGGTATTAAATATTTGTGGATTCCTTGACAGGGTACCAGCATGGGTGGACCTGGAGGATTTGGTCAAAGTCCGTTCAGCCAAGCACCTGCTACACCTCATCAAAAGTAAGCTTCTCCATCTCATCATGGATGGGCTGTGGGGAATGGCTGGGAGCTATAAAAGCCTTGGGAGAAGGGTGGAGGGCCCTGAAGGGGTGATGTATAAGTGGAGCCTTATAAAGAGCGAGCATTCAGAAGCAAGTGAGATTAATCCTTTAAGCTTAACTACAGGAATGATTTTTGGCTAGTGAATTATAAACAAGGTAAGTATTGGCACCTCCAAAATTCCTGTCACTAGTGCAGTCAAAGCATGGAAAGAAGCCTAAACTGCATACAGCACGAGGAGCGCTGTTCAGTATGATGTGTCTTCATCTTGGCCTCTTGAACAGACCAGTATCAACCAGTCACACCTATACAGTGTTTCCTTTTGTTCCTGTGTTCACCTCTTTGCTCAGCAGTTGCTGACCATAAGTAACAATTTCACTTCTGTGGTCAACTTCATGTGTATGGGGGGTTAAGTATTTTATTGTCTGCTTCAGCGTGCCTTTTTGTCCTCTGCAGTGGTCCTCAGGCGTTCATGACGCAGGGCTGGGGCAGTACCTACCAGACGTGGCAGCAGCCTGGACAGCAAGTCCCAAGTAAGTGTCTATGACCTGGGCTGGAGAAGGGTTGATGTTGCCTTTGCAGTTGTTGCTTCATGCCTGCAAAACACAGGTTCACCCACGAGAACACTTGTGTGAAAACAGCAAACTAATTTCCTGAGCAGCAGAGGTGTGTGGAGGCATGCTGTGGTGGTTGAGGTCAGAATAAGCTGAAGTCCATAGAAAACTAACACTTTTTGTGCGCTTAGCTGCTTACTGCCTGTTTCTGCTCCCTTTGTGTAGGAACTCATCCTTGCTGACTCTTCCTCTGTAACAAAATCATTGCTGCCTTAGGCTGTTTTCTGCCAGGATTCTCCAGGCAAGCACTTCCCAACCCCACTTCCCCCTAACAGCAGGCACACCATGTCTGGTGGTCAGCCCTCCCATCTCTTTGTTCTTCACCTTATCAGTTCTTGCTTTTTCTTTTTTTTTTTTTTTCCCAAATGTTCTTTATGAGCTTCTCCCACTGTTCAACTCCCAGTCTGACAAAGTCTGGGAAAGGAGATGCAGAAAATGGTAGAAAGGGTAAGCGGGGTTCCTATCCTGGTTCATCCATGCTGGCTGTAGTAGTGTCCCCTTGTCTCCTTTTGGGAGTTGATGAGAACTGCTCAGCCTCCACAGTGCTAAATGCTTAGAACGAGGCCAGTGGGATAACCAGCTTTCAAATAAATTTTAAAAACTCCCAAAAACCAATGCACACATGTCCTGAGTCATGAGTTCAAAAACAGAACCCAGATCACTCCTGCTGCTGGGCTTTCCACTTCAAGCCACCAGCACTGAGCCAGGCTGGCTGTTATTCTTCAAGATTCCAAGTGTCACTTCTTCCTAAAACCCTGTTTAGTCAAATTTCAGCAGGTTGGAATGGGAACTCCCCTTTTTCAGAGTAACTGAAGTAGCAAATGCAGTGATGATGTTGGTAACTGCATCATCCTGTGTCCAACAGCCAAAGTAATGGTTTGCCCTAAACAGAGCAGATTTATATTTTGTTTGGTAATCTCAAAGCTCATGTCATGGGCAATAATGTCCATTTTCTTTCAGGAAATGGGAGGTTTTTTAATGGCCTGGCCTTGTGAAAACTAAAGCTATGTGCCACCGGGGAGGTGATAATTTTAAAGGGATTTAATGACAGGTGCTTTTCGGTGCTGAGGCTGATTTAGCAATGAAGAAGATTATTAACCAGTATAAATTCCCACTCTTTGAGGTGCCTGAGGTAGAGGAAGCATTGGAGGAGCAATGCCTGTGATTGCACTTGTGGTTACCTGTAACACTAAGCACATTTTAATGTTTATGAAATTGTGAATTCATAAAATTTCAAAGTCCTCAACGCTGCATTGTTAACTTAGTGTACTTCTAAATTCTACAGGAGTGGAATAATATGGTACTGAAAAAGAGTATTTTCCCATTAGCTTTTTTACAGGAAAAACTGTTATTCCAGTCCTTTCCTATGCACTCCCAGGAGCACTGGACTTCCCTGAGCTTTGGGAAGCAGAACAGTCAGTGCAGCAGGGAAAGCTACAAAAAATGTCATTTTTACCTTCCTATAAAGCCTTTGAATACATTTTTATGCAATATTAATTGTGATTTGCTTTGCAAGATGCCTTTAGAAACTCACTTTAATAACTTATCTTTTTCCTTTACCTTCCTGAAACATCCTCTTATCTTGCCTGCCAGCCACTGGGGAAAAAAATCTCCTTTCTTGCAAGTCACAGTCATGTCTCACACTCACACCTCCTGGCTTTGGAGCCTGGTATAAGAGCACAGACCCTTTGAATCACTTGATTCCCAATAGTATCCCAACAGTACAGCTTGTATCCCAACAGTGACTGCTCTGCAATGAGTTTGCCAGGTTCCTGGTGGCTCCCAAGACCTGTGAAACATCCTGCCTTGCCATTATCCTTCCCCTGTATGAGTTTAGTACCACAAGGCTGTGTTTTGGGGGCAGATGTTTTATTTCTGCTGTTAAACCTGCTGGAAAATGTTGGCTCTCTAGTTCCATGTCTACTTAGGATCTTGCACGTTCTTGTTTGTAGCCAGGCACAGTGAAGGCAGTCTTGGTAAGGAGAGAGGACAGACAAGATAACGCTGTTCTTTGAGCAGCCTTCACCGCTTGCTTCTGCAGCAGATCACAGTGGTACCCAGTCAGGGCAGGTGGAGTTCATCAGGATGTCAGGATTATTGTAAGAAACTAGGTAAATACTTGCTTTTAAAAGTTGAAGTTTTAATTTGAAAACAGTTTTGTGAAGGATCCCTTCCCCGAGTGCTGCAGCCCGTTTGTTTGCAGCTCTGATAATGCTGTCAAAGAGCCGGCGGAGTCTTTTCGGAACAGGCTTCCTAGGGACAGGCTCGAGAGTGCCCTCCTTGTGGGAGGAGGGGCAGACCCCTACCCCCTACACATGTATTTAGATTTTAATTACTTCCCCCATCTTAAATAAATAAACTGGCTAGGGAAACATTTTGCTGTGAAATGCATTTAGCTGTGTGTCCTTTCAGCCTGCTGCGGACTGTAATTCTCCTAGAAGAAAAGGCATTGAAGGAGGTCCTTTGTTGGCATTAGCAGGTGGACAGTTGAGGCAGCCTTGACCTCTGCCAGAAAAGGTCCTGACTTGTAGCGTTGGTCAAGTCTTTTAACCCGCTTTTATGCCCCTGGACAGGACACTGCTGCCCTGTTTCCTCCACCCACTTCACACTTGCAGTGTATTATTTTCCCCCCTCCCCCCACTTCAAAGCCCCCCTTGGCTGGTGTGTTGAGGCAGGGCTGTGCCTGGAGCACAGGCGGGTGGATGGGCTGGGAAGAGCTCTCCTCCACCCGTGTCTCCTGTCCTTGCTTGCCGTCCCTGTGTGTAGCAGCTCGTGCTCAGCACTCGCACTCTCGCTGTGCCTGCCTCTCTCTGCAGTTTTCTGTCTCTTCTGTTGAGGGCTGTTTTTGTTCCCTGCGTCTGGCTGAGCGCTCGTTGCTCTAGCTGTGACTGAGGGAAGTGCGGGTGTCCTGCCTCTGCACCCAGCCTGGACTCCTCCCTGCAACAGCACTTAGACGTGCTTGGATTGAAGAAATCTTGGTGCTTCAAAGAGGGGGAGTCTGTGGTAGGTGAAGACCAAGGTTTTGGGGTCTGTGAGGTCTCTCAGTGCAGGTGTTGGCACCGCTTATCTTAGTGCAGTGCGGGAGTTTGGAGATGGCACCGCAGAGCCAGGCGTGACTGGTAGGAGGGTGTCGTGGATGCCTCTGCACACGGTGCGTGTGGGGGTGATGCTGAGGGCAGGTGGAGCTGGCTGGGCTTCACATTGGGCTCACGGCTCCTTCAGTCCCCAGGGACTCTGCAGCCAGTAGCAGTTTGGCTGCCCTGGAGCTGTGTGGTGGGGCAGATGATACGGTGGAGGTTCATGTGTGGGTACATTGTACAGACAGGCATTGCCTGATGGGGCTCCTTCAGATGTGCTGTGCTGGTGAGAGCAGGGGTGAAGGATGTAAACCCCTGAAAACAAAGTGAGATGACTCAAAACGTGTCCGTTTCCATGACAGCTCCGTGACTGGAGGGAGGTTGAGGTGACAGATCTCAGTTCTGTCAGGAGTTTGAACCCTCCATCCCTGTGCTAGATGAGAGTGGACTGACAGCCCAGGGTGGTTGACGGGCAAACCTGGCAGCTCCCAGCAAATGTACTTTGCCTTGAGCAGGTCCCAGCATGGGGGAGACTTGGCTTAATGGCCTTGAACAGGGCACAGGTGAGAGGAAATCAGGAACTGGAGCTTTTCCTCAGTTTTCCCTGAAGTGAAGATGCCCAACACTAGAAAGGTGGCAGCTGAAGTGTGAGTAGGGCAAGTGAGGTAGATCCAGGGCCTGTCTAATGGAAAGGCGGATGTCACTGGCTGGAAACTGTCACCTGTTCCATATTGACGTGCCCATTGTTGTCATCTTTGCACAGGCCAACAGAGCCAGCAGCAGAACAGCCATCCCGATTACAGCAAAGCATGGGAGGAGTATTTCAAAAAACAGAGTGAGTGAAACAGGGTTATTGGAGATGAATCAACTCTTGTTACATACAGAGTTAACTCTAATCCTATGACTTGTGTCTCCATCCCCTGCCATTATTGGCTTCCAGTTCTCTACAAAACCCCCGTGGTCCTCTCCTGTTGGTGATGGTGCATGTAGTTGTTCCACTGAAAGCTTGCAGTTGTGCTCTGCTGCCGTGCCTCGGCAGAGGTGCTCGCATTGAACCGTGCTCCACAGTAGACCTCGTGTCCATGCTGGCAGTTGGCTTGCCTGGGGAATACACAGTGCACAACAAGAACTGATGCTAACAAAACTCAGAAAGCTGGAGCTGGGTTGTTGAGAGGGTAGGAGAGCTCTGCACACACGGGAAACCACGGGCCTGGCTTTCTCCGCTCGGTTACGAAACGCATGATGCCGACTTGTGGATTTGCATTTGCCATGGTGCTGCTGGAGCCTTCGTGCTGAGGATGAGGGGTGCTGGCTGTGAGACCGGGTCCCTGCGGCCGTGGGAACGGTCTCTTAACGCTTTCTGGCTGCTGCCAACTTGCCGCAGCTCGAGGCCTGTCCTGCCGTAGCTGAACAGCAGATAGCTGGTGTCGCTCTCTCGGATGTCTGCAGCTGTTGGAAGGGGGCTGACTCTTCTTTGAGATTTACAAAAGGAGATCCTCAGCCTGGGTTTGGTCTTACCCTATTGCTCATCTCTCCCTTTTCCCTTCTTTTCCTCCAGGTCACGCTGCCAGTGCTGCTTCTCAGGCAAGTTCCCAGCCGGACTACACGATGGCTTGGGCAGAGTATTACAGACAGCAGGCTGCCTACTACGGGCAGACACTAGGGCAGGCTCAGGCCCACAGCCAGGTCTGTATTCACATTCCCTGAACCCCACTGCTCTTTCCTTTGGGGAGTTGGGTGCCTTGGGAGTTGGCCTTACCCTGGTGTGGGGACTCTGCTTTGGGTTCACATGGTGAAGCAGAGAGAGATTTTGTGACTGAGGAAGTGATCCCGGAAGTGAGAAATTGCTTGCTGCTCCCTGATGTGTTGTTTCAAGATCAGAGTCTTACTTCCCTGTACAGGGTGAGGGGTTTTTTGGGAGAACACTGGGAGGTTGTTTGTTTCTCCTGGGGGCCTTTCCTTATAACTGTTCCCAGGCTGTTTTGTGGCTTTGGGGAATTAAAGGAAAAGGAATGATGGAGCCAGGCTGGTGAGGAAGCACAACACTGGCACGTTGTGGAATCCAGGACTTTGCAGGCTTTGCCTTTTCTCTTGCAAGCTTGATGCTAGGATGGGAGCTGTGCGCTTACCTGGGGAGGGATCACCCTGTCCTGAAAGGGAACAGAGAACTGTTGGAAAATAATTTGGATTAACCAGCTGCCAAGTAAAATCTCGCCTCACCTGTCACTCAGACCACGGGAGGGCTGTGTGGGATTTATCCTGATCACACCTGCATGGCTTTCCTGAGCACCGGGTTCGCAGAGCAAATGTCTTAGTGTTTGTCAAAAAGCGTTTCTGGAGCACACGTACACCTTGGTGGGGTCAGACGGATGCTTCTCCCCACTGAATTGTGTTTTTTACCCTGGCTCCTGGGAGCAGAAGCCAGTGTGGATGCAGGCAGTGTGAGGAGCCAGCACCGTCCTGCGGCAGCTGCAGCTCCCCGGCACCGCCGAGGTCGAGTGGGGCGAGCTGGGTGCAGGAACTGGCGCTTGCCGCCGGCGCTGGCCAAGTGTGACCTGGAGCGGTGATAAATAGGAGTTCTCTTCATTCCCCTCCCAAAGTCTGGCCCTCTAGAGAAGAGAGATCTTGTTCGGTCAGAGGCATGAACTCCTGAAGGAGAGCTGGGGGATAGCAGGCGTTGGGGCAGAGATCTCTTCCATAGCGGTTTGAAGCGTCGTTGGAGGAATAGATCCTGCTTGGCTGGAGCGGGGAAGGAGAAGCCTGTCTGTGTCTGTGCTGGGGGAGGAGGGCTCTGCAGCCTAAAGAATTTGCTGCCGCTGAGTAACTTGTTCTTTTTCCCCTCCTTTCTCTCTCTAGGAGCAGTAGAACAAGGTCCTCATGGCAATTTTTTGTTTGTTTTTTTCTTGGAATCATTGTGGAGGAAAACCTTTTTGTAACAGAGGTTTCTAGATTTGCAACATTTTGATGAAGACTTTTCTGTTTGTTTGTGAAACACTAGTTGTAGGATAATCTATACTGAACTTTTCTAAGAATCAGGAACAATTAGTAATGTACTAAACTTATGGACATGCTGGTAATTTTCTTTCCAAATTTGTAAAAAACAAAACAAAACAAACCTCCGGGATTCTTTTTGGAGAGAAGCCAGAGAATTTACAGGCACCAAAACGCACCCCAGAGCTGTGACATTTCAACATGTGGGTTTTTTTGTGTGGTTTTTTTTTTCCTTTTAATTTTCGATCTTTTTCTGTTGCAACAGACAGAGTGGCTTGGAAGTCTTAGGTGGTATGTAACAAATCCTAAAAAGAAAAAAAAAAAAACAATTTTTTTTTTAAACAGTATTTAAATATTCTTAAATATGTAAATTCATTAAATGTTTTACTTCTAATTTCTTGTATCTTGGCTGTCTTTGATTTTATTGCATTTTTAAAAAAAACTGAACTATGATATGTATTGTAATTAATTATGTGAATTCTGTATTAAGACAGTTACTGTTTTGCTGTCAGACAAGTTACGGGCGGGGGGGGCATTTTGTAGGGTTTGTATAATTTCTAGAGTCTAAAGGGGTAATATAAAAACGTGTTAATTTTTTTAGCAATACATTTTTTCATGTCTCCATTGCTAGTTGCATTTATGTATCTAAGACCTCCAAGCTTGTTTAAAAAAAAAAAAAAGAAAAAAGAAAAAACAGAAACAAAAAAAAAGAAAAAACTTTCCTCTATGCTCTCAGAAATATAAATACTGTTATTTTTAATATTAAAATGAATCCGCTATTAGTACCTTTAACAAACACTGTGGAACATAAAACCATATAAAAGGTAGTAACTATTTTTTAATTCCAAGGTGTTTTTTGCTTTTTCATTTCTTTTAAATATTTTCTTATCTAATATTTGTCAAATTACCTAGAGAAATAAATGAATCTAGTATTAACCACGGTATGCGCTAAATAATTTTGATTTAATAAAAGGGATAATATGATTTCCAATGTTTACTGTAGTGTTTCTTGTACAGATAACAATGTATTTTTAAAGGAAAAAACGGAATTGAAGCTATTTTTTCTTGCATTTTTACTTGCCCTGCGGGACATTCCGTTTTGAAATGTACTGAAGTTACTGTTTCTTGAGTTCTTTCCTTATTTTTCCTTATGCTTGAAATGTCTAACTATAAAGAAACGCAATTGGATAATGTTGAGCATGGTGTTTAAAAAAAAAAAGTGTTCTTTTTATTTGACTGACAATTGCATTTTACACTCTATATAATAAAATTTCCACAAGGTGTCTTGTGGGTGAAGTATTTCCAGTCTGCTTTACTCAGTTTGCTCTCTCTCCGCTTGCCGAGGTCCCCGCGCAGCGAGCCGGCTGCCCCCAGACCCCCACATCCTTCGCCTTCGGGCTCGCGCCGTGTCACCCGGGTACATCAGCTTGAGACTTAATTCTAGTGAGACTCTATTAATGTCACCTCAAAGCATCTCTTGGCACCGTGACGCTCGGGATTTCCACATTAAGGTGCTGTAATTGTAGCTAATTGGGCCAAAAAGATCGGTTTTATTAAGGGGAAGTTTTTTATAAGCCAGAGGGGCATGGATCTACAGCCATATAAATGTTTTATTGCTTGTCGAGGAGGTGGCAGCCCCTAGTTTTAATCCCCTGAACTTGTTGCTCTTCCACAACTTTGTCTTTGTGGCTGAATCCATCCAGGACTTGCCCTCCACCCGGCGCCCTCCCTGCGAACGGCGTTGCTGGAGCAGCGCTGGCCCGGAGCGGGATGGGGAGGGACGTGGCTCTGGCTGTTCTGTTAGATATGTTAAGGAGCAGTAACTTTTAGTTGTATCCAGGACAAGTTTGATGATTACTTTAGCCACTTCAGAGATCCCTTTCTTGTAAAATGTGAGTTTTGTGCTCTTCCAACCTAAAATAAATCCATCCACCTCTCCCTGGTCAGCTGTGGGGGTTTGCAGACGGGGGAAGGGAGGGGGGAAGGAGAAAAGATCCCATCTGCAAAGCCAGGAGCAGGGAGGCATGTTGAGAGCCGGAAGAAAAGGAGATGTAGCATCTCTAAATATACCTCCAGAGAATCAAGAGAGACATTGAAAGATGGGATAGTAAAAGCCACTTGGAAAGAGGGGAGAGGGGGGAAAAAATGGCTAGAGAAGGGCATAAAGGCTGCTGATGGGAATTGGGAGTGGGCATTACCGAGAAGACTTCCTTCTAATTCATCTTCCAAGCTCTGTGCCAAAACAGCATTTGGCATGGTTCACAGGGAGCAATTGTGTGATAATGAACCCTAAGGTGTCCCTTAATTGAAGACTGAGTATTACAGATTGTGCCAATAGTCGTAAATGGCACAGGATTGTGGGAGGATGCATTTTCTTAAATGTATCTGTAAGTACAGATGAGCGAGTCTCCCCAGTGAAATACCCATACTATAAATTATGGAAATATCTCTTTCTGATGCAACCTTTTATTGAGGGGGTGGAGCAACAAAATAAATAGTTTGCAAGCCTTTGAAATTTGGCCTGTCATTAAGATGGTGCCTGCAAAGCTGGGTTTTCATCAGCAGTCTGGTGTCCTGGAAGGATTAAAGTGCTTGAAATGTTCCCAAGTTCAGCAATTTGTTTTCCATTATTGCTGCCTGGTCGGGGCGGAGGGGCCACAGCCATTAAACTTCTTTCTGTTGTGAGTCCACGATGGGCTGGAGAGGGGCAGGGCAGGAGGCGAAGAGACACCTTGGCACCTCACAAGGGGCTGGTGGCCTCTGGGTTCTTCCAAACCCCACACCAGCCCTGCTGCTGTCCTGGTCTCTGTCTGCCAGGGGGTCCTGGGGATGGGTGTGATGGTCAATCCCTCCCCAGGGCTTGCCAGGGCACCTCCTGTTTCACTCCAGGGTCTGCAGGCAACTCCTCGAGTCTTGGCTCAGGTGTGTTCTGCAGCCCAGAAGCCGCTGTGATGCCTTCAAGCCAAGTCTGTGGCCTCCAAGAGAGGAACCGAGTCTCCTGCTCAGGTCTGGGCAAGTTTAATCCCTAAATAAAGCGGATTAAGCCAGTTTTTGTAGCAGGGAGGGTTCGTCTGCCACTTGGGCAGAAACGTTGGACGCTACAAGGTGCAGGGCAGTTCCACAGTGCACCACATAGGAGCCAGCACATGGATGAAGTTTGGGGCTTTGAGGTCCGTGAATGGCGGTGGGGACAGTGCAGCCTTTTCCTCCTTGTGAGGGACCAGTGCCCGGCGTGGGGCCATGCCCTGGTGTCAGTCCTGGAGTCAGCGGGGAGCTCCTGCGAGGAGACCTTCAGTCTGGGGAACACTCTGCCTCCAGAGCGTGGAGTTTGGGGACGGAGGAACCAAAGGCCATCCCAGGTGAGTGCCCCGGCGGGATGTCCCAAGCCCTGGCTCCTTGGCTCCTGCTCTTTCCTGTCTTCTGCAAATCACATTCCTTCCTTCAAGCACCATCCCTTTCCCAGGGCCTCAGCTCAGGCACACGATGGCCTCCCTCTCCTCGAGCATGAATCCATTGCAGTCACACTCAGCGACACATCTTTCATGGGAGGGTGTGGGTGCCTCAGCCCTGTGTCCCATGGGACCAAGGTGACTCAGTGACACCCACTCTGCTCTTTGGGCACAGAGACTTATTTCTGAGTAGAAGTTCATTGCAGTCCTGCAAACTGTTTCTGAGCAGCAGCCTGAAAAAGCACATCGCTAAAGCATCTGGTTGGGTTCAGGCTGCCCCCGACGCTCTCCTGTGCTCTATATTGGGTGTGCCTGAAGAGGCAAAGGCTATTTTGGGAGCAGAGGGGAGACTTTAAGACAGTCTGAAATACTTGCTTTAATTTTGCATGATTTGAGAATGAACTACATTATGGACGTTGCGAGTTAAACCAGAATGATTATTGAAAGAGACAAGCAGGCATGGGACTTTTCTTTTTTTTTCCTTCCCCAAGTATTAAATATTTAATTGCGTTAGAGCAACAGTGTATTTACAGTAAGCTGGGTGGGTGGTGGGCGGCGTGCTGAGAGGGAGAGCTCGTGGTATTTCATGTGAAGCTTTTTTGACACAACATGGATGGTTGTGAGATCCCACCTGCGCTGCTGCTGCTGCTCTCACAAACCCACTTGGTTCATCTCCCTCTCAGGGGGATTTTTGGGGCTGTTGGTGTTTGTAGGGCTGTGGCACAGGGTGAGGAACTGGGATCTCATGGTGACAAGTTGTTCCTGTGCAGATCCAGGTGCTGCTGTATCCTGTCAAGCAGCACACGGGTGGTTTATTCCTCCTAAGGAGCTGTTTCACCTTCATTTGGCTGGTTTGGAGGTTTTTTCCTGTGGATTTAGCAGCGGTGTTCATCACAGATGGGGCGTTTCTCTGCCCTCTTAGGGCTGGAAAAGGCAGAAAGCTAATTTCCCACAACTTTTCACAGTGGAAATCAGCAGAAACAGGAGTTATGTGATGTGAAGATGAGTTGAAACAACCACAGCTCCCCAAGCCGAGGGCAGCGAGTGGACAGGCACTGGGCTCCCATCCTCACCTCAGTGGGTTCTGAGGATGGAGGGGGATGGTAGGGAGGGATCAGCCACCCCTGGGATGAGGAAGATGGGGCAGTGGGTGCCCAGGTCCCTCCCTGTCACCTCCCTCCAGGTCTGGGGCACCAGGTTCAAGGTAGGTGACCTAAAAGAGCATCTCTGGGGTTGACGTGGGGGCAGGTATCAACAGCCCCTGCAGATTATCTGCCCATCCTGCCCCTTATCACTTGAGGAAATCCTATTTCAAGGCTGCTATCAAGAAGCCTCTGATCTGTGCAGTGGCCAGCTCGCTCCTCTTCAGTCCCAGCCGGGCAGGGGTGCAGGTGCCGCAGTCCCGGGGGATTAGACGGTCCCTTCCCTTTGTGCAGCTGTGCCCTGGTGAGTCCCACCAACCCACGGGACTCCTGGTTTGGGCCATTCTCTGGGGAATATTAAACTTTGCTGCTGTGGAGTCGTTACACAGGGAGGCAGGAGCTGCTGCTCTGTTTGTTTTGGAGAGAATAGGGCCAGCAAAGGGCAGGAGCTGCAGGAGGGCTCATCTGTCCCTCCTGCCTCCTCAGGGTCACCTGCCTGGCCATGGTCCAGGGATGCTGTG